GAATGATTCACCTAGAAGTTATGAAAAAGATCAAAGAATCTAAGGGTAAAATTTGGGGTATGACAATAGGAAAACATGGATTGTAAAGATTAAGGCCATAGAACCACTGTATGGAAATTGAGAGATGTCTTACATTGACCTACCACAGTGGTTATTGGTGATGAGAACCTATCTTCCTAGTACTGTTATAGAGTTGCAAATAATGCTAGTACTTACAGATGACGAAAACCAATTGGGTGACAGGAGGATGTTTCACCGTCTTTTTTGGGCGTTTCAACCATGTATTCGTAGTTTTACTTATTGTAAGCCTGTTATACAAGTTGACAGAACATGATTGTACGACAAGTAGAAAGGGACTTTGTTGATGGTTGTGGCACAAGATGGGAACGATAACATTTTCCGAATAGTATTCACATTAGTTGAAGGTAAAACAAAGGATGGTTGGAGTTTCTTTCTTAGGAATTTAAGAATGAACGTGACCTCACAAGCCAATCTGTGTCTCATATCCGACCGATATTTATCGATCAAGGGTGTTTATGGTGATCCTGAAAATGGATGACAATATCCTCCATCTTCACATGTTTACTGTATCAGACACATTGCACAAAACTTCATGCGTGAGTTCAGAGAAAAAGAACTACATAAAAAACTTGTCAACATGGGTATGCCTTCATCTTCACATGTTTACAGTTACTATAAATAGTTATTAAGTTATTGATATTCAGATGTTTTACTTAACATTTTTACTACAATATATGCGTTGGCGGAGGCAACATTTAATTACTATCAAGGCGAAATACGAATATCAAATAGAGAGGCTTTAGAGTGGATAGACAATATTCCCTGTGAGAAGTGGGCAAAGGCGTATGACGGAGGACAACTGTGGGGACACACGACAACAAACCTGGCCGAAGCAATGAAATCGGTACTTAAGGCTACATGAAACCTTCCAATTACTGCATTGGTCCAATCAACATACTGTCGTCTAGGATCGCTGTTTGGAAAACGAGGCCATGATTGGACAAAAATGTTGGCGTTCAGTCAACCTTTCACAGATAACTGTAATAAGGGAATGACTGAAGAAACGAGTAAATCTAGCAGCCATAATGTCATCCAATTCGATCACGAGAGATTCTATTTTATGGTGGCTGAAAGAATTAATCAGAATGATGGTCGACTATTATACCTCGAATTTGTCCTGTCATTTTGAAAATTGTCGCATTCGATTTTATTTTTAGTTTTGCATCGTCTGCATAACATCATGTCTTTTTCCATGAATAAACCCTAAAAATGATTAGCTAGGATGAATCCTCAGATGTTCATACATACTGGTCGAATTATTTCTCAAATATGCAAAAATCAGTGAACAAAAAGTTTCAAATTTAAGCTTGCAGACGTCAGTGATATTAACCTACTGTTCATGAAGTTTAACCTCGCGCACTCATCTTATTTTTCGATAACTTTTCAGTCACTTCTCGATCAGTCTGAGCCTTTTACTGGTCTCGGTCAATTTTCAAATTTGACTAAACACTGTATTTTTCCGAGTCGTTTATTCCGCGCTAATCATTTTGTGCGGTCGATTTATTTTTTTGAGCATTTTGTCACCCGATTTTATTCTTTTTTAGCCGATTTATTTTTATATTTTCATCAAAATATTCAAAACGATTAATTAGAATTTCATGCTTGCATTTCATTTTTTATCATATTTATTCAATAAGTTTTGAATTTTAGAGGTTTTTAATTGATTTAATTCTATTAAATTAATTAGAACTTCTAGAAGGGGCAACTTTGACATTTTAAATTAAGTGTGTTTTTTCAATTAAATATAGATCATTAGATTTAAGTTTAATCAAGGGTGAACGTGCATTATCCTCATATTTTCTTATTAGCCAATCATAATTTAGTTCTATTTTATTCTGATTAATTATAAAATCAGAAAAATAATTATTTATTGTATCATTTAATTGAGAGGCACTTGTCCACTTTTGATTGGTTAGTTTGGTAGATTTTTGTCATCCCTCCCAATAATATGTTGACACATGAATTTTATGAGTTGGTTTATTTTATTAATAATAATAATAACCATAGTTAATAATAATAAAATCAATTAAAAATATATAAACAAGAAAAAGAGCCAATTGGACTCCCCACTCAGCGCAGTATTAGGAAGAGAGAATAAAAAAAATCTCTTTAAATGGGATATGTGTTGGGAGACCAATGGAAAGGAGAAAAAACATTTTTTCCAGGTTTTGAGATAAGAGCAAGCGCGACCTTGTGAACAGAAGGGGGAAAGTTCTCTCTCTCTCTCTCTCTCTCTCTCTCTCTCTCTCTCTCTCGGAGCCATTGCTCTATCACCTTCGCTGACTTCACAGAAAAAGAAAAAGAGCTTGTTGCTCTTCTTCTTCCCTCTCACGATTCCCCCCAATCCTTGGTGAACACCCTAACTTAAAACCACTCATTTCTCCTTAGCATCGAGTCCTTTTATCGTACCTTTTTGCTTTATCTCGTTTAGAAGAAAACAAATAACCTTAGCTAACGTTCATCACAAATTGAACTAAGAGGTTCCCGTTGAGTACAACGGACGTGAGGGGTGCTAATACCTCCCCCTTACGTAACCGACTCCCGAACCCATAATGTGGTTACGACGAATATGTTCTTATCTCCTTAAAGGTTTTCTCGATATTTTCCTTTCTCTCTTTTGGGATAAATAAAGTTCGGCGGCGACTCTGTCGAACCGTTTTTCGCGCCTTTCACGCGAGGGTCGTATTTTCGATTATGTATTTTTCTAGGTGCGACACCGACCATTAGGTATTTTTAGCGTTGATCTCAGGAAGGGTTGGTGCGATTGTGAAAAGTTTCAAGCATTTCATTTACCTTGCTCCCATGTAATCGCAACATGTGGTAGTATATGCCAAGACCACAACATGCACATATCAGATGTTTTCAAGGTTTTGAGTGTTTTCAAAGTCTACAAGGAAAGTTTCCTTGGACTTCCACACCAAGAAAAGTGGCCAACATAAGAAGGATATACTCTTTTCCATGATGAGACAAGGCGAAGGAAGAAGAAAGAACGCTCAAATATTACAAGAATTAGAACTGAAATGGACGATGTTGAAAAAGAAAAGAGAAGGTGTGGGATTTGTCTTGAAATAGGCCATATTCGTAGAAAATGTCCAGATATAGCAGGCCCGTCAAACCGACCTGTATAGATGATTTTGTTTGTTTTATTAATTTAACTTTCAGTTAATATAACTTTAATTTTGTGGGATTTTTTCAATACATTTCCGTGTCATTCAACTTTCAGCAATAATAAAATAAATAAATCGCACATAAACAAACAAGATAATAAACAATATAACAATTAAACATCTAAACATGCATATGATATTGCAACCATCAAGACAATATATGTTTGTCCATACATCATCATAACAACATCATAGTCGTTTTTCTAGCTTTACAGGACCTAGTATCTCCATCTTTAATAAGTCTTTCAATTCTTCTAATATTTTCACCTTCAGCGATTTCTCCATCTAACCAACTCACCAGACTTCTCTAAAAATACTCGAATGTCACTATGTTCCACAGTCAAATCTTTAATGGAGGCTTTATTGCCGAAAAACACAATTGAGCATCTCTTTTGACAAGCGGAGTATTTGGGTTGATAAATACTCCATTTTTTAAGAAATATTTTAGAGTGAAATGATTAAATAGATGTAGATGATCTGAGAATTAAAAGTACCCACACAATGCTATATATATATATATATATATATATATATATATATATATATATATATATATATATATATATATATATATATATATATATATATATATATATATATATATATATATATATATATATATATATATATATATATAATTTTAAAAATAATAATATATTCCCATATTAAGCCAATGGATGACCGACCTTCTTCATACAATTATTGATGTGTTATTGATCAAATAAATTAAATAATAATATAAATAAAATATTAAAATTGCATTATTTGATAATATAAATTCAACTTTAACAATATTTTATAGACATATTTATTACTAAATGAATTGAAATATTTTATTATTATATAATATTAATTAAAAAGTTTAATTATTTTTTATAATATTATTATATTAATTAAATCATTTTTAAACAATTTACGTAGTTTAATGAAATTTATGTAATACAAATTATATTATAATATAATTAATAATATAAATTAAATCCTTTTTATATATTTTAAAAATTAAAAAAAAAAAAAAATCTTTGTTGGCTCGGCCAATGGATGACCGCTTATGCATGGCGTGATTCATCTTCAATGGGTCGTTTATGAGTTAGTCGAGCCTATTCTTTAATTATGGCATTCCAATGTTTTTTTAAGGCATTTTAATTAGGGGTGGTAAAGTGGGACGTTGTCCGATGGACTGGAATTTTTGGCCTTCTGTCCACTAAAGTCTGCCTCGCCAAAATTTGCCGTTTGAGAAAGCCTGCGACATCTATTTGTTCTGTTTGTCCCATCTTAAACCTGTATTTTTTAGTTAATTATAGTAATTCAAATTCTTGATGATTTTATTTTATATATTTATTTAAAAATATATACAATATTTTTTGAATTAAAATTTATTAAAAAAATATTTATAAAAAATGTTATAAAAATTTTAATTAAAATATAAAAATAAATCTTTAAATTTATTAAAAAAATAAAAATAAATAAATAAGCGGATAAACTCCCTGTCCGGCAATCCGCTACCTTTGCGAAGCCAGATAAATTTTTATGTCAATTTTCATTTAAAAGATTTGTCCGCCCCTTTTTTTAGGGGCCTTAAGACGGGGTGGGGGCAAATCGGGGCGGATAGCCGGTTCTACCACCCCTAATTTTAATTAATTTTTTTGCAACGTGGTAAAAAAACACCAAGCTTTTGTGTGTAGATAAATAAACGACAAAAGGGAACAGAGTTGTGATTCTATTGAACAGGTGGATAATACAAAAACAAAAATGTGCAGTCTCGAGAAGCGTGACAATCTATGGATCCTGACAATCACCGGCGATGATCAAAACCGCCTCAATCCAACCCTAATCGAATCCCTTCTCTCAACCCTAACAAATCTCGCTTCTCAATCCACTCCCGGCTCCGTCCTCATCACCACCGCTAAAGGCAAATTCTTCTCCAACGGCTTCGACTTGCCATGGGCTCGCGCTGCCAGCTCCAAATCCGCCGCAGTGGTTCGCCTTCAATCAATGGTTGATTCGCTTAAGCCCGTCGCTGCAGCGCTGATATCGCTTCCTATGCCGACGATCGCCGCCATCAACGGCCACGCCTCTGCCGCCGGGCTCTTGCTCGCGATGTGCCATGACTATGTTTTCATGAGGAGTGATCGAGGTGTGTTGTACATGCCGGAGGTGGATCTTGGACTTCCGCTGCCGGATTACTTCACTGCCGTGTTGAAAGAGAAGATCAAATCGCCGGCGGTGCTGCGTGACGTGTTATTGGCCGGCGTGAAGATCAAGGGGAAAGAAGCTGTTGAGATGGGGGTAGTTGATTCGGCGCATGATAGCGGGGAGAGTGTGATAGAGGCTGCGGTGCGCTTGCGAGAAGAATTGGCACAAAAGAAATGGGTTGGGAAAGTGTATGCAGAGATTAGGAAGAGTTTGTATCCTGATGCATGTAAGGTTTTGGGATTGACTCCAATTTCACTCATACCTAAGATGTGAATTGAGTTTGTCTTTTCAGATTCCAAACTTTTTTATTTTATTAAACAATTTGTGTAGATTCTTTAAGGTTGTGTTAGTTTAATCATTGAATTGGCGATAAAATCAGATGTCAGTGTACTATTGTTCTATCAAAGGTAAAATTATTCTTGTAATGTGGCTTTGTTTGGAATTACTCTCTCATTTCTAAATTCTTAAATGAATTTCATGCTAATTAAAAAAATTGTTTATTATTTTATAGAAAAGATAAATTATGTAATTTATTTATTATTTTATGGAAAAGATAAATTATGCATAAGTAAAATTTATAATTTTATATATATATATATATATATATATATATATATATATATATATATATATATATATATATATATATATATATATATATATATATATATATATATATATATATATATATATATATATATATATATATATATATATATATATATATATATATAATTACCTGGACTTGCCAAATTTAAGGTATATTTTTTAATTTATCATGAAAATTAGTGGCTAAATTTATGTTGTGAGAGGTTGATTATGCTTAGACAAAACTAAGTAGGTAACTTTTTCTCATAACATATTATTAACTAACAAACAACCTTTTCAAAGTGTTTTTAGTGTTTTCTTAAACATTCATCTTTTTTTTTTTTTCCGGGAGAAGGGAGTTGTTGATGATTTCAAAAAAGAAAATTTTTGCTAAAATCATTTTGACATCTTTAACTCTGCGTATCAACCAATCACAACATTCTTAGCCTATTGCCCTATGGATTCTGATGATGATAATCATCAAAATAATTTAATAAAAAATGAAGAATTAATTGAATATCCAAAAAATATGGGATAATCATCAAAATAATTTAATAAAAAATGAAGAATTAATTGAATATCCAAAAAATATGGATAAACTCAACAGATGGGTTATACCCTCCGTTCCTTCTAATCAAATTTATAGATTTGGTAAGATAGATGTTTTTGCTCGTTTTGCTGTTAAAACTTTAGAGCAAACGATTCAAATTTCTAAAGAAATTCAAACAATAAAACTGTTAACTAAAAAAGATTTGAAACCTTTTAAAAATTATAATTTTATCCATATTGGATTGGTTCAAATTGCTTTAAAACCTTTAACATTATTGGGTTTAAATTCTAGCATAATGGCTTATGTTAGAGATGGTAGATGTAAAGATTTCAAACAATCTTTAGCTGTTATGGTTGAGACAAGTCTGTGTCATGGACCAGTTTACTTTGATGTCTCACCTAATTTAAATCTATCTTTATCTGATAAAAATTTATTAGATGCTATGCAATTAACAGTTCATACTAATGGTTATAATTTTAAATCGGGAAGTGAAATTATAGCAATATGCTATAGAATCTACTATAAGGTTCTTACTACGCTTAATCCTAAAGCAAATCATTTATCATTTCCTGGAACCACTACTTTGGTTCAAACAAATTTACTAACATCCAATGTTGCAACCAATAGGTTAATAAAGTGGGATGAAATAAACTTCCTAGAGACATGGTCTCTCCCCCAGGAAATAGATCCTGAACCTATCCTTAATAGGGATATAGACCAAATTATTCAGACTACTGAAGGAGATTTAGAAATAAATTTCACTTCAAAAAGAATAACTAGAATACCCAGGTCCCTATCTGCTAGGCACTCAGTTAGTGAATTTTACACAGCTCCTAGCCAATTACCTAGACCTTCTACTTCTCAAACAAGAGAAGAAATAGAGGTCGTTGAGAATATAAGACTAAGCGAAAATAGAGTTCCCCATGGAATTTATCAAAAACCTCATACTCCAAGAGTAGAATCACCTACTCAGTCAGATATGGATTTCCAATTATAGTGATAAATTACTCCCCTGGTAGTAAGATGAGACAACTCATCAATGATGAGTTTCAACATGAGAGATACTCTCAATTTAGAAATTGGTTTTTAAAAAAATTTTCAAAACCTGAATTAGTCCAATTTAAAGATGAGTATTACACTCAAATGAACCTTGAGCAGGATTTCGTTCCTTTTGTTAAATGGTTTGTTAATTACTTCATAAATAAAAAGTAAGAAGAAATACTTGTGTTACAAAGACCTTGGGAAAACATTAGAGGAGAAATAATGGAATCTCCTTTTCCCCCTGAACAAACAATAAGTTTGAGTCAAAATACTGAAGCTACCCCTTACCTTAGCCTTCAGTTACAAAGAGTTGAACAAAATCAAGTTACTCTTAAGGAATTAAATTCAGTTATCAGGTCTCAAAATTATACCAATGCTTACCTTGTTTGCTTAGGAGAACAATTTATCTCCATGGAAAAAGATCTCTTATCCATAAAAGATCTTTTAGAAAAACAAATAGAGCGTCAAGATATCATTATTGACCACATAAATAAACCTAAAGACCAAATATCCACATCCATTATTTCGGATGTTCCTATAGTGCAACCTCCTGTTTCCATAGAAGGATTTAAAATGGAAACTAATGGAGAAGAATTTGTTCGTATTTTAGAACAAAAACTAAAAGGACTTAATATCACTGTCATGTCCCATGAAGATTATTCTGAGGATAATAATGACAACCATATTGACCAGCTTGCTGATATGTTTGCTAATTTAGACATTAGTAACCTTGATATTAATACTAATAGTATAAATCCTGTTTATTCCCCAAGGCCTATAGAAAAGTATTATTACAAGCGTCCCTCACCGCAAGATTTGCTTTTTGAGGAATCAGAACCTTTTCAGAATTCTTATTCAGGAAAAGCTATTTATGAATGGAATGTTGATGGTCTTAATGACAAACAAATTATAGATATTATCCATAGGATGATCATGTACTCTACTCTTTGCAAGCAACATGGAAATTCTGATGCTTCAATAGCATCCTTTATAACAACAGGATTTGTTGGCCAACTTAGAGGCTGGTGGGATCATTATCTCACTGAATCTCAAAAATTAGAGATTCTTAATCATAAAAAAATCGTTAAGAGCGAACCAAAAACTAGTACGAGCACTATTGTGGCTACAACCACCACAGGAGAAGAAGATGCAGTGTATACACTATGTCTCTCCATCTTACAACATTTTGTAGGAACCAATGTCCCCATTGGAGAAAAAATCCAGACACTTCTCCAAAACCTTAGGTGTCCTTCTCTCACCCACTTTAGGTGGTATAAGGATACTTTTCTTTCAAGAGTTTATCAATTAAACAATCCCAATTCTTTGCACTGGAAAGCAAAATTTATTGATGGATTACCTCATTTCTTTTCTGAGAAAGTTAGACAATCCTTAAGACAGAAAAATGATGGGATAAATATAAATTATTCAGATCTTACTTATGGTCATATAATTAGCACTTGTGTTAATGAAGGATTAACTTTATGTAATGACATAAAGCTTAGAAATCAACTCAAAAAGCAAAAGCTCTCTGAAAAACACCAAATTGGTGAATTTTGTGAGCAATTTGCTTTTGATCTTGGAAAATCTCCAGATAATAAAAAGAAAAAAAAAAATTTCCGCAATAAACCTTATAGGGATAAGCCAAAAAATTCTTATAAAAATTCTTATAAGAATAAGAAAAGGGGTCACTACAATAAGAGTAGACCTAAAGAAAAATCTTTTGACCCTAAAGGTAAAAGAAAAGGCAAAAAGCTTGACATAACATGTCATAAATGTGGCAAACCTGGCCATTATGCCAACCAATGTTGGACTAAAAAAGCTCTTAATGAGATAGAAGATGAACAATTACATTCTCAATTAGAGAAAGTTTTACTTCTCAAATCCGATTCTGAAGAATACTCTTCTGAAGAAGATATTCATATAATTTATGAATCTTCTTCTGATTACTCATCTGAATCTTCTAACAATAATAATTGTCAATGTAATCAATTAAATTACTAGAAATCAATAGTGGATATGAATGGGTTAAATGTTTTAACCTCAGAATAGGATGGAGCTATAAAGGCTATAGAGTCCATTTATGATAAAAATCTTAAAAGAAAAATGCTTGAGGTTCTAATCCAAGAAAACTCTAAAAGAGAATCTCCTATTATTACAGAAGCACCTTACCAATTAAGTGAGGTTTTGTCTAGATTTAGACAGTCTAACATTCGTGAAACTCCTGTTTCTATTATGGATTTAAATAGAGAAATAAATCTCTTAAAAAATGAGATAGCTCAAATTAAAAAAGAAAACTATGGTTTATCTCAAAGGCTCACTTTTTTAGAGTCCAATAATTCAAGGGTTGAAGAAATAGCTTCAACTAGTAATCCTTCACCTAGTGATGATTTCCTTTCCCTCATTGATAGAGTGACCTCCCAAAAATGGTTTGTTAGAATAACTTTAGTGATTAATAGAAATTTCATATTAGAAAATGAAGTTGCCCTTATTGATAGTGGCGCTGATTTAAACTGCCTTCAAGAGGGAATTATTCCCACTAAGTATTTTGATAAAACTACTCAATCTCTTACACAAGCTGGAGGATATAAACTCACGGTTAATTATAAACTGTCTAATGCTTATGTTTGTAACAAAGATATTTGTTTACCCACTCACTTTATTCTTGTGAAAAACTTAACTCATAGAATTATATTAGGAACTCTCTTTCTGCATAAAATTATGCCTTTAATTAATGTTGATCAAAAGGGAATTACCTCTATTATTAATAATAAAAGAATTACTTTTGAATTTATTACTGATCCTCATACTAGGATGATTAATGAAGTTAAAGATATTCTTCTTAAAAAAGAAAAACAAATTTGTTTTCTTAAAGAAGAAGTGGGTTTATTAAACATCACTTCTCAACTTAAAAATTCTGAAGTTCAAAATCAAATTAAATTAATTGATCAACAGTTTAGAGAAGAAATATGCAATGATTTACCTAATGCCTTTTGGGATAGAAAGAAACATGTTATTTCCTTACCTTATCTTGATGACTTTAATGAAAGTCAGATTCCCACTAAAGCTAGGCCTGCTCAAATGAATCATGAGTATT